ACACTGTGACGCCGTGTGTGAAGTAAAAAGTATTATTTAGATGATGGTCAAAAAGGTATTTCGTAATCATTGTAGGTAGTACTCGTAATGGCTTTGACTGAGACTTCATTGTAAGTGATGGAAGTGGCATATTTATGCCCTGCAAGCATAGTTGGCTACTTGGCTACATGCCGATTTGTGGGACTCTGGATAAGATGTGAGTTAGAAGTTTGTTAACTGTATTGTTGTTTTCCTTTGTTAGTGAAACTAGTTTAGGTTATCAGGATGCACCATGATATATGAGTATATGGAATTGCCATTGTTGGTGCTCTTCTATCTAATATCTGTTTGAACTTTACTTTATTATCCATTTAAGTGTTGTGAAAGGATTTGCATTGTAGTAAGATTTAGAAAGGATTTGCATTGTAGCCATTAATGTGGACTGGTGGATTCATTGGTCGTTCTAGAGCTATATAGCCTCATATTCATGTTTTTTTTTCTTCTTAAGTTTGATAAGTGAAACTGTATGTGAACAGCTGTGAAGTTTGGACGTGTATACGGTGTGGAAATGGAAAGTGGAGATGGTAGTAAGATTTCTAAGAGAACAGTTTTGTCACAGTTGGAACTACTCTATTTGATGCTCTTGTCAAAGCAGTGGACACTCCTGAAGTCAAGCAAGAATTATATGCAAAAGGGTATACACACCTCCTGATTCAAATTGGTCGTGGGTCTTACATCCCTGCCAGGGTATTTTGAATGTTGGCCTTGTTGCCACCTGAACTTGTGTGTGATGTTTTAGAGCATGGCATTATTCTTTATGGCGTTAAATTTGGTGATAACGAAAGAAAAAAATACTGCTTTAGTTGGTTTCTCATTGGAGCTTGCATTAATAAACTGCCTGTTGAGCACTTGAGCATCAAACATGATTTCCATCAATAGCAAGTGAGGTGTGAAAGTGCTAACATCTAATTTTTGTAACTTTTAAAATAAAGTAATTGCCTGTTGCACATCATATTTGATTCCATACTGGGGTTTTGCCATTGTATGCTAGGCTTTTTATTGTAGATAAGGATACACTAGTAAATGTAGCCTTAAGATATCTGAGAATTCATGTTGACAAAAATAAGGATAGAATCTTGTTTTGGGTCTAGGTCTGGTCTGCATTAGTGCATTTCAAAATTGTCACTAAATTAATTATAAAAGTTTCAATGGCATCAGTCATACTACTGCTTGAACTCTTTACTTGATGTAGGGTCTGACTTTTGTTTTTCTCTGATTCACATGTAGTCAACTGGTGACGATGGGTCCCTAGCCGTTGAATACTTCACGTTTTCGTCTAGCATTGCAGAAAGCCTTTCATCAGCTTCTCTTGTCATAAGTCATGCAGGTATCTGTATATTTTTGTAAGAAAATTGGATGCTAAATTGTTTTCTTTGATAGTCATTAAATTCTAGGCCAGAAGTAGAGTATGAAATTCCTGCGCATAATTACTATCAAAACTTGAAAGGTTTATGGTTCTCTGCAAGTATATTTTAGGAGACTCTCTACCAGTGACTTGTCCGATGAGTTGGTTAGATTAGTTTCAGCTTGGGTAATTTCAGGTTCCGGTTGAGTGAATCTCAGCTCACCATTTCGTTTAAGTCTTTAGCGGATAATTTCGGGTTTCTGGTGAAACAAATGTTGTCAAAAGCCTAATATTTAGGATTGTGTTTTTGGGCCATCTCATTTTTGACAAGTATAGCTTTAAGCCTTCAAAGATCCTAAAGGTCTCATGGTTCCCTCGGCAATTATTGTATCCCTTTTGATGACCTTTAGGTATCTGGTGTTGGTCATAATTTTGTAAATCTTGCTATTATACAATATCTGATCAATGATTTTTACTATTCCCTGCCTTATGATTGGCCAATTATGTAATTGAATTAGAGTTTAAATGGTTGGGTGTGTAATTCTCCTAATGACTATTTGATAAGTTGTGTTGGGGGAGAAAGTTAAGGTTTGGCTTCGATTTCTATTTATCTTATGATGACTGAATTATGCTTAAGGTGCCTGCTAAATCATGTTTTACTGCATTATTCACCCTGCTCACTTTGAACCTTTCTGTGGCCGCAGTATCTTCACTTGAAAATTAGTTGCTTGGTCTGCTGATTGCTCTTGTTACTAGAGTAATTGTATCAATCGATAAACACCCACACTATGTATTTCTGTCGTAGGCCTCAGCATGCTGTGGGAACTTAGATGTATGTCACATTGCTCCTAGCTGGTCTAAACTTGTAAAGAGATTGATTGTTGAATTTCTTTGAGAAAATATGTGCAATGTGCTGGAACAAAGTAGTGAGTTGTAATGAGATTAATTTCCGTAGGTGAAAGACACCTTAGCTATTATCACTGTCAAGTTAACAAAAGCCACTGAGAGTTGATGTATGTTTTGTTTACCATAGCATGATCTACTAGGACACAATTTTTCCAAGCTAATGCAAATATTACTGGTTGTCTTACAGGATCAGGCAGCATTTTTGAGACATTACGGCAGCATAAGCCTTTAATTGTCGTGGTGAATGAGGATTTGATGGATAATCATCAAGAAGAACTGGCAGAAGAATTAGCAGAGAGGAAACACTTGTTCTGTGCACACCCTCAAACCCTTTATCAGACTATTACTAGTATGGATTTAGAATCTCTTCTTCCATATCCTGCTGGTGATGCTAAACCGGTTGCAAAGCTTATAAACAAGTTTTTAGGTTTCCCAGAAGATTAACAAAAACACATTACTTGATCCTCCAACAATTTAAAATTCGTCAGTGCTTAATCAGATTGAAATCTCTTGATTCTTTTAATAGCACATGTATCGCTTACTTCTGATGCTGATTTTTGTCAAGTAATCCAATCAAAGATGATTGATGATACACCATTTAGTCGTGACTGTCATAAGTGAAGTGAAGAATATATCTTTGGGAATGGAAAAATGCAGCATGAAGTTGATTGACTTCATCTCTGAAACACTCATGCAGAACTTCAAACAGAACTAGAGTCGGCACCATATGGAATCCCACCATAGATGTTTTCATTAGAGGAAAGGTAAGTAAGCTGGAAGCTGCCCTACCCTAACTAGCTGAACTTAGTCCAGATTTAAACATAGAAAAGCAAACAATCATGAGTGGTAAGTTAGAGCTTATGATGGTACATTTCTTTTCTTCTTTCTTTTGTTTCTTTATGGTCACTTTGGGATCAGCTGATGCCACACTTGGACTATGGGACTTGTGTGGAGGAGACGCAGATGATCTCCTACTTCTTCCCCTCCTATAATGATGTGCCATCGGAGAACAGCTCTTACGACGCCTTACAGGAGAATGGCCTCTGCGGCGACGTGGGGAGCTTGACCGGCTTCTTTGCCTGCATAAAGCTTTTAAGGATGTACTCAATGTATTCAAGGTTTCAAGCTAGCCTCATAATTGTATCAGAACTAACTTTGGGACGAAAGTAAAAAGAGATTGATTTCCATCAGCACAATTTTGTTTTTGGGTGGCACCTTCCACTAGATTTCGACCACATTTTTTTTTAATATGATCCAATTCAGCTAGTGTTCTTCATCCTCTAGCCCCAATTCTTTTTTAACTTTTAATCCCTCTCAAACTTTATTTTTTGGGTGTGATTCAATAAATCTTACGTATTCACCAAGTCCAGATAATTCTCATCACCATCACCATCACCATATACCTTTTTACAAGATAGTTGTATGATAAATAGTCCATATAATTCTCATAATTAGTGTATTTCCAAGCTAGTTTTACAAGGTAATCAACATGATAAACAAATAAAAAATGATACTTGTATTTTTGTATAGAAGTGAGATTTGCTTCTATTTTTACCCTTTTCCGTTCTCCTTCTTAACCTATATGACCCTCTTTCTTTTACCTCCTATTCAATAGGTAATAAATCGTAAGTGAGTGTTTTGAGTGATCTTCTCAGAAAAAGATTTTTAAATAGTTAATAAAGATGTTTGTATGAAAAATATGAAGCATAATTTAGAATATTATATTCAATTTTTTGTAAGCAATGTCGATAGACCAATATAACCATTTAAGCATTTTTGCGTATGCAAGGTCTTCTTTAATTCGATTTATTTTCACTTATTTCATTGAATAAAAATTTAAATAAGCTAAAAATTTAAACAAGCTCAACTAAGGTTCAATATGTTTTTACTTCATATAATTTAAGGTAAAGATAGTAAGTTTAAATAAAGGTTAACAAGGGTCGCCCAAAATCAATTTATTACAAATTTTAATGAGTAAAAATTCATGATAATAGATTTAATGGATTGTCGTAAAATTAATTCGTTGGTGGAAAATTATGCGAGATCACAAACGTTATCAATTTTTTGAATACAATTTAATGAATCGGAAGGAAGACACCCTCACGGTTATAAAGGATCGTTAGATTGTTTCTTTAACAAGAGTGTAATTTCCAGCGATGATATAAGCGGGAGATGTTCCGTGGTGCAAGATTTACTTGACAATCGTAGTTTTTATGAAGGAATATCTAATATATTTGTTAAAGTCGAATTTTCTTTGTAGATGATGATTTCTTATTAATGAATTATTTTTACTAGTAAAAAAAAAAAAAAAAAAAAAGTAAATGTCAAAATTTATTTAAAAAAAAACTAAATGTCAACAAAAGAAGGAAAATAAAAAAAGATAAAATATTGCCAGCCAATGAGAGGATTTGTGAAGGAAGCAAGGGAAACAGGAAGGCCCAACAAAATGACATGTCAACTCATAATTGGACATAATACACCGTAACACAAGCTGTTAAAACCACTCCAAATTACGAAACCACCCCTCACCAAACCAAAACAATTAGCTTCAGCAGAATCAGCACCCAGAAATCCCTCCTGAAATGACGAAAATACCCTCACCAAACCGAATCAGCCAGATTAGGACCCAATAAAACCCGAGCCAAATAGGTTCGGATCCTATTCGATTACAGCTAGTTACAGGCTGTCAGCAACAAGTCCGTGCTCCCTCTACCCTTTTTTCTCGTCCTCCAGTTTTGGGTTTTCTCACTCGCTTTCTCTCTCTTCAACCAACTTCTCTGTTTTCTCTCTCTACTCTCTCTCTCTACTTTCTCTCTCTAAAAGAGGCGGAAGGAGGAAGACGGAGCGTGGTTTGGTGGATCCAAGTTTGAGGAGAAGAAACTCAGGTATTTTTGGATGTTCGATCTGATTATGTTTTTGTGTTTTAATTTCTGGAAAATTAGGTTTTCTTTTTGTGCAATGTCTGATGTTAGGGTTTCTGTAATGTTTATTTCTGATCTGTGTTGTTGTATTTGTGTGTTGTTGTTGATGTTTGTTTGTGTTTTGTGGAATTGATGGAATTTTAATTTGATTGTGTGAGTTAATAAGAGGTGGAATTGAAAGACGAGATTAGTTTGAAATTAGGCGAATTTTGTGGAATTTGAAGTGTTTTTAGTGGATTGGTGAGTGCATTTGTGAGAGTTTTGAGCAGTTATTTTATACATTGATGAAGAATTTTGCTGTATAAGTGAGCGAATTCTTGAGTGTTGCATTTGAGTTTACTGTGAGGAATTACAGTCGGTGCGAAGAAGATAATAGCGCGGTACCGCAGTAACAGTTATAGTGAGAGTGATTTGTGGTTGAGTTGTGAAGGAATTTCAAGTAGGATAGAAGTTCAGAATTAAACTTTGGACTTTTAAGGAACGAAAGTAAGTTTATTTGATAATTAGTTTGCTTAATTGTTTCGAGAATGAAGAACAATCAAGACCGAGTAAATTATACAAGCAGGGGAAGATATTGGATTTAGCATTGCAGTGTATGACTTTTAGGCAACTGAGACGAGAGGAGGATTCTCGGGGACTGAAGTCAGAGTAAATTGTTCGAGGTTGATAGTATATCATAGGAATCTGTTGTGACTAAAGACTGAGTAAATTATTAGTTGTGATAGTTATCAATTCTCAATTTACAGAGTGTGTTTTTTATGAACATGTTTGTGTGTTGCCACGTGTGAAGTATGAAGTATTACTTAGATAATGTTCACAAAGGTATTTCGTAATTATTGTAGGTAGTAATGGCTATGACTGAGCCTTCATTGTAAGTGATGGAAGTGGCATATTGATGCCCTGCAAGCTTAGTTGGCTACATGTCGATTTGTGCGACTCTGAATACGATGTGAATTAGAAGTTTGTTAACTGCATTGATGTTTTCCTTTGTTAGTGAAACTTGTTTGGGTTATTAGGATGCACCATGATATATCATATCTGTGTATATGCAATTGCCACTGTTGGTGCTCTTCTACCTGATATTTGTGTGAACTTTACTTTTTTTTTTTCGTTGGAGTGTTGTGAAAGGATTTGCATTGTAGCCATTTATGTGGACTGTTGGATTCATTGGTCATTCTTATTTTCATTCTGTTATTTTCTTTTAAACTACTAGCTTATTTACTTATTCAAAATCTCTATCTGACTTTTGTTTTCAGGTGTATTGATTTGGTTAATCGAAGGGGCCTGATTGATATACCGACAAGTCAATAGAGATTGGGTGCAACATTTTGTCATAAGGCTATTCTGCACCTCATGGTGTAACAGACACTTGAAGCCCCGCTGCTGAAGGGATATTGATCAAATTCTTTGTGGTTACTGTTGCTGAAGGGTTTATGTCACTTGATGCTGCTAGGGTTGCTCAATCTCATATTGAGAAGGGAACTTCGGCTTTATTATAGGCCCACTTATTGTCTCCATGCTGGCGGAGAGCATGCGTGGAATTTGTGCTTCGGGTAATGCCCCTGACCAGTCGAGCCGTCGATGCACTCGGTGTGGTGACAATTTCTCTAGTGGTTCTTTTGGTACTTTTTGGCGTGTTGTGCATAATCTACACATTGTACTTCCGTGCTCGTATTCAGAGATCAGAGCTACGTCGACTCGATTACTTTAACGGACCTTGGATAGTTCGGATCGTTTTTATTTTGTTTGGAATATGCTGGGGGGTTGGTGAAGTTGTCCGATTAAGTTTCTTTAGGCAGGAGGGTAAAGTCTTTCATTCGCTAAGTCTAAGATGGCAGGAAGACATATGCAAACTATACATCCTATCAAATCTAGGGTTCACAGAACCTTGCCTCTTCCTCACTATGAGTTTTCTCCTACGCGCATCCCTAGATTGGAGGGGGTCTGGTATACTAAACCGGAAATGGAACTTCAAGACCATTGGTTATGTTTTGCTTTATTGCCTCCCAGTATTCGTCTTGGATCTCTTTGTTGTCACGGTTGCCCCCAAGTTCCGACATGGAAAGATTAAAGTGCTGAGTAAATTGCCAGAACAATTCATAACAGTATATTGGAAGTTGAATGTACCAGGCCACCCTGCCGTTGCTTGCACTTACCCCTTGTTGTGTACAATAGTCCATGGACTGTTTGCCACCGTCCTAACTACTTATCTGCTATTGCTTGGGAGGCGGATGGTTGTGTCGGTCATCAACAAAGGGTTGCAGAAGAGAGTTTACATACTTATATTTCTTGTTTCAAGTTTCCTCCCTTTGAGGGTTATTTTGCTTGGTTTTTCAGTTTTGGCGAGGCGTGAGCATTTTCTCTTTGAAGCTCTTGCCTTCTCTAGTTTTCTTGTGCTTTTTTCTTTTGTTGTAGTGGGTATATTTATGCTTGTTTACTTACCTGTTGCGGATTCTTTAGCCCTTAATAGGGATCTGGGGTTGCCTGGCACAGAGGGAGGACGGTGCTACACCTCCGAGGACTATGCTGATTCTCTCTCTCTTGTTGCTGCCAACCAGAGCCAAATTGAGACCAGTACGGCCACAAGCCTGGGAAGAAACTCCGATGTCTCAACTAAACGGGGTTCCATTTCATTCCGGACTATGATCAAAGATGAAGCTTCTTCTACAAGTGGCGTATATGAGGAAGAAATGAGCACATTTTCTCCAGGTTTTCGGCCGTTAATTTCATCTCCTGGTTCCCCAGCTTCCCTACAGATGAAACTTCCAGTTTGAGGCAAACTTCATCGGGGGAAACGAAAGGCAGAAGAGAAGCTTTTTTTTCTTAGTTCTCTTGTCTTGATGATGATGTTTAAAAGAGGGGTGCATCTGTAAGGGCAATTTCTGACAATTAATAAGACTGTATCTGTTCATAGAACCAAGGAAAATCTACCCACTTCAGCGTGATAGTCCTGAGTAAAGTTTTGGCATTGTTTTCAGCATTCTTTAATTTTGTCATCATCAATAAGCAAGTGATAATTTTATTTTGTTAATAGTTATGAGAGTGAAGGGGTATTTGCTCCCCTAAAATTAAAGTTAAGTGTACAGGTTGGACGTTCATGGCAGTTTAGTTATCATTATTGCGATTTAATTGTTAATAAAAATACGAAATAAAATGCAAGTCAGATAATCAGAAGCCTTTAGAATCATAAATCCTTTGTTGCACCTTGCACTCAGTTAACCAGTATACAAATTTGTTTATTTCTGACATAGATAAAGAGTAAATAACTCAAAACTCAGAAATCACCAAAAATTACATGTACTGTAAATTTTTTTCTGACGCAACAGCTATGAACAGCTTTTCAAATTAAATACCCTCTACTAATGAAGATTTTCTTTTCATTAGTCATTTTCTTTTCACTTATCACTCGGCACTCTCACAGCACAGCACAACACATTGGATTGACGCTGAACAAGTACTAGCCTTTCAGACGAGTAGACATGGGAATTTGGGGAAGATACAATCAAAGTTCAAACTAACAACGTTCACGATTTATGAAACGTGATACTCTCTCAATTTCCTTCATGATCATCTCCTTTTCCTCTTCAAATTGTTCGTCCTCAGAACCTAAACAAAAGACAAGTGCATTAAAAGTTGGTACTTCAGAAAGAGCCCATAAATTATGTCAATAAAGTTTTTGGCCTGTGAGGAGTACTTCTAACCTTTTCCAACAGAAAGACTGCGTAAAAGATCCAACAACTTTTCACAATTTTTCGCCAATATAATTTTGATATCATGCGTCTTGTTAGGGTTTGCGACAAATACCTGAAGATAGATAAATGAGCTGATCAAGGGCTAAATCTTCACATATAGACAAATAGATCTATGAATTATAACTCCCTAAATGCTCAAAAACAGAGCTCTAAATTCTCAAGACAGAAAACAAATAGAATTTTTCAAAGAAAGTTCGCACCTTGAAAATGTGAAAAGCAGAAAGCTGGATATTTTTGCTCGAATCCTGTTCAAAACCAATATAAAAAGGAAATCAAAATCAGAAAAGAGATTTTGAGCTATATTCAGCAACTTAACAGAAGTACTATGCATTGAGAAGATGATTACATTCTACAGCTCCACTATAAGCATTAATTTACCAAAAAATAGATTTCTGACAAAGATAGGTTCTATTCAAAGATACTTCTAGAATTTATTTATATTTTTTTAATTATTATCGCAAGATTCATTAAAAAAATTGTCCAAATATGTAAAAAAAAAAAAAAAAAAAAAAAGAAGAAGAAGATGAAATCAAACAAGGCACCGTAAGTAAATTGATACCTTCAATAATGTCATGATAACTTTCAGGTAACGTATTTCAAGGATATATTGCTTCATTATGTGCGAATTCGGCGGCTCTAAAAGAAAATCTGAAAGGAGCTACTACACATCAACAGCAAGCTATTAGTGGTGTATCAAACACATAAAATGAACATGTTTTGTAAATTACGTCAACAAACCTTTAGTGATTGTCTTCTAGTCACATAGTTTGAGGATGTCAAAAGCTTTTCATACATTTCAAAGAACTGGAAACAATAGACATTGATTAGAACCAATATAATGCAGGCAATAATCCTTTGTACACGTATGCGCGAGGGGGTCGATGAAAGGTTTTTTGTTTTAAAAGCTCTACTATTGTTTAAAAAAAAAAAAGAAGTTAATACGGAGTTGAATACATTGAGAAAAGATTACAAACTAAAGCTTTAACAAATCTAATTTGCCCCAAATTAATGTTAAGAAACGAAAATGCCTGACACAACACACATAAAAAACCAAAAAGAATAATATGATAGTTTACTAATCTTTTACATAAAAATGCAACAACAAAACTTGTTTGAAACATGCAAGCTTTTGCATTTTGCTAGACGGACTCTTACTAGGGAATTGGATTCTAGCACTTGTAATAAAATGTCATAGTATGTCATCTAGGCCTGGGAGTAATAGGAACATGATTGTACCTCATTATAATGAGATGTCAGATATTCAGCAACTTCTTTACTGTGTTTCGTAAGCAGATCCTGTAAAAAAATTTGCAGGTTTACAAAAAGATATAGATTCTAACAACATATGCAAACAGATGCCATTGAAACACTGACCTTGAATGTGGCAAATGCATCTGAAGCAACATCAAAGTTGGGAAGTTCTATATACTTGAAGAACAACTCAAAGCTGGTAGACTCCAATATATATCTGAAAGAATACTATAAAAAAGATATTTTAGAAAAAAAATACCTTTGAAACATACAGTGCGTGTAATAAATTTCCAGTGAAATAATTTTCTAGAAAAATAAAAATAAAAATTCAAGGCTCTCTAAATCTATGCCCAAATCCCAACAACCCCACCCTCCACCCCCCCTACCCCCTTAAAAAAAAAAGACAAGGAATGAGAATAGGAAGAAAATAAACACTGAGAGAAAAGGCAGTACAGAATATGAAATTATGTAATGCGAAAAAACTAGAATAACAAGAGTAGTAGCATCTGTAAAAAAAATTGCATATTATCCTCACAGAAACACACATCACATTTGAAGTCTCCTATCTATCAAGGTTCTCTATTATGATCAATAACTTGGTGGGTTTGCCAAAATTTAACTCCATTTCCAAGAACTAATGGTACCCTCACTTGATTAAAGCACCTGAATAAGAGCAATATGATTCACAGACATATGATAGAGATGAGAAGAAGAGATAGAAAAGAATAATTTATAGCACAAGAATCTTCCCAAGGTTTGACTCTTACTCATCTTGACATTATTATCTAACCAAGAAGAAACCTAGAATACAAATATTCATGGTCCAAAAAAGAAGCGCAAGTCCTAAAAAACACATCTCATCCGGTCATCCATTGTGCTAAATCACTTAAGAGCCAAACAATCCTTTTTATTAGGTCTGCAGACTAACTCCCAACCTCCCACCCTAGTAATAGACCCTCTTTTCTTACCCCACCCGACCAAGGAAATTACACATAAGTCTTCACAAGCTCAAAGCAGCACCATGGGGAATTTAAAAGAGACAAAGAAAATTACAAGGGGAAACACACATAAATAGATATAGATAATGTCACAACATTATCTCCCAAAGACAACGTTACATCACTTTTCAGAATACCCCAATGTTATGTCAAATGCTCAACACTTCAAGATACATATGAGCATGTAAAAATTAACCATATGAATTCCCCAAACTCTTAGCGACTCGACACACCCAAGGTCCTAAGCCTTCCCCGAGAAAGAAATTGCTTATATCTCAAAGGACCAAGAAATGGATTAAAAAGTAAAGGTGAAAGGGTATCGCCATATCTCAAACACCTCCGAAAACCCCAAACCAGTGAACCACCTCCAAGAAAATACATTCATTAACCAACCAATGAAATGCATCCCCTAATCCACTTCCTTCACCTAGATTCAAAGCCTTTTAATTCCACGATCCCATCATACGCTTTCTAAAGTCCAAATTCAAAATGTTGTTCTAAGACCCTTATTCTATTGTCATTAACCACATTACTCATGAATATGTGATGCTCCACAAATGTTCTCTAGGCCTCCAATATCATTGAAGAAAGAACTACCCTTAATTATAGAAAGAGCCTTTCTTGGGAATTGAGAGGCATATACATGTTGCCTATTCCAGAAACAGTGATGCTAATAAGTCTACTGTTGCCTATTCCGGCAGTCACTCATGACCATTGGCCACTATTGCTTAAGGCATCAGCAAAAGCTGACAGTGCTTCCTCTTAATTGTCGCCCGCTTAGCTACTCTATAAATACTACATGCAAGCCTCTTGAGTCATGCCCTTCTCAATTTTATTTTATTTAAGGCCAACGTGACTTATTATTAATGTTAGCCCATACATGTACAGCAGCCAACATGATATAGTCTCATATAATCAATCAATAACCTAAACCGGTTAGCTTAATTCAACTAGAGTTTATGTATAATTCCTTATTTCCTTCACTCTCTGGAATTCTATTGCATGCTGCTACTCTTTCTTCACAAGGGCCTTTTACCTTGATTGCCTCCAAAATCAATGAAGAAAGAACATCCCCTAACCTAATAGAAGAAATATTTCTTGAGAATTGAAATTGAAACATGATACTGTCTTATAGATTCAGAATAATAGTGGTAAATGAGCACAAAATGCTAACCACCTCTTCACATAACCTCCCAGGACCTAATGTGTTGATCACTCCCTATCTTAAACCTGACCAACAGGGAAAAGACACATGATGCCAAAGATATAAACTTTCACAGACACGCATGCATTAGCCCCAAGAAACCTGACCATATCAACACAACCCATATTTGCTCTCAACAAAATGTTAAACAGGAAAGCACCATAACCTCTTAAAACCCAATTCCTATTTCCTATCATTGCATTCCAACAACACACCATTCCCAAATCCTTCGCCTTATAAGCACTAGCTACTGAGGTCTTAAGTGGGAAAAAGTAGAGACATTGCTTTGACCAGAATTAGCTCCATCAATTCAGAAGACTACGTGTAAAAGACCAAAAATAAAATAAAATAAAATGGTGCACTCAACAAAAACTCTGGAAAAGCTTTAAAAAAGGTATGCAAACTAATCAATGAGCTGTTTAAAAGCCAAACAACATGAACGTCTTACTTTGCAAGAGTTTGAAATTTGATACATTCCCTCAACATAGTCCCACAAGTCAAGGCAGCATCTTTGTTATCATAGCTGCTCAAGAAAGGAAACACAAATTCATCCATATAAGACAAAGAACGTTAAAAAAATAAAAATCACTTTAGATAATAACCACAAAGGTGTTAAAATAATGAATGTAGCACAAACAATCCACATCAAACCCATGGCAGATAAGCACTAGTCAAAAAATACATAGATTTTTAATGGGTTTGCCAAATTGATCCTTCACTTTCAAGTAAGCCAAACCATAAGGAAGATTTCCACTTGCATCAAACCTAATTATTCATCAACTTGAGACAGGAAAAGGATAGTAGCAAGACATCCCAGCAGTCTCAAATTAAAAAAAAAATACGGAGTAATAAAATAAAAACAAAAAAA